CCTTTAGGACTATGCAGAGACCTGATTAGTTTCAGGGTAAATAATTGTGCATATTAATTACCTAATTTGCATAATTAATTTTCAGCTTTTCTACTGATATCTAAAGTACTACTCATCACATTTCAATGAATCTAGAATTATGCAGAGACCCAATTAGTTTTTGGTAAATATTTGTGCATATTAATCACCTAATTTGCATAATTAACCAATTTCCAACTTTAACACTGGTATTTCAGGTACTAATCATCACATATCAATGAATGTTTATATATGGATGCTGTAGGACAATAGACAGACCTGGATAATTGTGGGTTAAAATCTGTACATATTAATTAACCAATTTGCATAATTAACCAATTTTAAGCTTTCACACTGATATCTAAAGTACTAATTTCCATTTTAATGAAACTTAGTACAAAGATGCTCTAGGACAATGTACAAGCCTAATTAGTTTGGGGTAAAACTCTGTTCATATTATTTCCCTAATTAGCATAATAATTCATAATTTTTTGGTTCTAATCACATTTCAATTAAACTTGGTACATAGATGGTCTGTTACATTGCGCAGACCTCATTAGTTTTACAATCAAATCTGTTCATGTTAATTTTCTGATTTGCATAATTAGTTTTCAGCTAAGTAATTTCAAATTATATTTAATGTGTTTCCAATACTCTCAGCACATGGGAGTTCTTTCTAAGCTTTCTTTGATTTTTTTTATTATTTATGTACAGCCTTGCTAAATCTTGCTAAGCATTCAAAAGAGAGAATGTTTGCACCTGATATCTATATTTTAAAATTATAGTTTTTTTGAGTATGTACCACTATTCACAATTCTACAAAATTTCAACAGTCTATAGCCAATACTTTTTGGATAATAAAAAGCAAAAAAAAAATGTCACTCCAAAGTGCCCACAAACCTGCATCTCTACCTTAAGTGATTGAATACCCACTTTTATGTCAGATTATATGACCTTGTTAATATCCTTTGACTTTCAACCAGTTTGCAGGCATATTTTAGTAATAATGTTTGTATTTTTTCTCCAGCTTAAGCAAGGTATATTACTTGGTGTTGTAGGAGTTGATGTACCAGTATTCGAATTACTCAAATTAACTCCACCATACAAGGTATGTATTAGCTGATTATCATTCTATTGTGTCTTCCCACCCAGTATGAGTGACTACTAATTTAATATGTCATTTATGGCCATACATACTTTAACCAATGGCCACTATATAGGTTATCGCATGAATGAAGTATTGTTAGCTGTTGTTATTAAATATAGATGTCCCTGTTAATGCAATATTTTCACAACAGATCACAAGCTAGTTGATCAGTGATTAACATTTGTTATCAGATATTCATGTGCTGGTTGGCAAAAAAATGAGGTGCGAGTGCATGAGATATACCTAATAGCACTACTGGTACATACATGTACTTTAACTGATGACTTTCTCACCATTTAGACAGGATTGTCAATAAGAAAACAAGAAGGCACTCATACAGTTGATCTACTGAAAAGGCAATATTTGATCCTCTATATAAATACATTCTTCTGTGCACATTTTCAGCTTGGTGTCAATGGATATTCCTTTGCCATTACCAATAATGGTTATCTACTTTTTCACCCCGACTTGCGACCTCTATATGGACCAGATGATAAGTTGAAGCCTAATTATAACAGTGTAGATTTGGCAGAGGTAGAACTTTCTGACACTGAAGAAACAGTAGGTTTTCATTTAGAATCATGTGTTACTGCTCCTCACCAATAAATACATGTTACTGTTAGTCAATAACAATTACATGTTACTGCTAGTCACCAATAAACGCTTGTTACTGCTCGTCACTGATATACACATGTTACAGCTATTCACCAAGAAATACTAGTTGCCATTAAATACATGTTACTGCTAGTCACCAATAAATTCTTATTACTGTTAGTCAATAACAAACACATGTTATTGCTAGTCACCAACAAATACTTGGACCATTGGTGTCCAGGGATTCCATATTGACTAGAAGGCATGCTAAGTCTGTCACTTTTAGTCATCTGAAGCAATTCAACCTGTCACTGATACAAGTGTTGTTAGATACTTTTCTTTTGTTTTTACAATTTTTAGGCAACACTTGAATGACTCTTTGATAATCATTCTCCCTTTTTAGCTCCGCTGTTGACTTTGTTGAGCGGAGCTTATCATATGAGTGATTGTCTGTCATCGTCCATGTCAATGTTTTACTTCTTCGACTTTTTCTTGAAAACTACAAGCCTGAAGGCTTTGATACTTTGTGTATATTTATCTTCAGTAGACCTCTCTTAGGTTTGTTCATTTCATGATGATGTCTTCAATTTTCTAATTTTGGTGAATATATTTAGCTCCACTGTCGACTTTGTCGAGCGGAGCTTATCATATGAGTGATTGTCTGTCGTCGCCTGTGTCAATGTTTAACTTTTTTGACTACTTCTTGAAAACTACAAGCCTGAATGCTTTAATACTTGGTGTATATGTACCTTGGGTAGACCTCTCTTAGGTTTGTTCATTTCATTTTCTAATTTTAGTGAATATTTTTCTCATTTTTGGTAAAAAGTGATATTTTCGACTTTTTGTTGAAGACTGCATGTCCAATTGCTTTTATATTACATATATAGTTACTACATGTGGACTTCTCTCAGAATTATTTATTTTGTGAAGATATCTTTAATTCTCTTCTTTTGGTGAATATTTTTGTCATTTTAGGTAAAAAGTGACATATTCACTACGTTCAATTACCCACCATAGACTCCGGTCAGTCAAAATGACTATTTTAAACTGTAGGCATTAATCAGCGATTCTGCCGGTGACAGAGAGATAGAATCCAGGTCAGGGGAAGCCCCATGACCTCAAGATTCTTTTACCCCTTACGTCACGAACCCACGTGACCGAGGCCTCCTGGCAGCGCCACAGGTAGCCGTCCTTCACTCTTAATTTCTCTCCGCCTCGAGTGGAGATGAAATCTAGTGAGCTCTGCTGGATCGCCTGCTTTTTTTTTCATGTCCGGATTTATAGCTTGGGTTGTTGCCGCTGCTCGGCATCCGACATGGTAGCTGGTAGGATAAGTTTTCCTTGACTTTTTTTACCCTCGTGTCGTTTTTCCCCTTTGTGTGTAGTATTTTTCACAACAAAGAAATCAAAATCCAGCGCCACTACATAGTCACATGTTGATTTCATGGCGGCACCTTTTACAACTGTAATTCGT